ATAGATAAAATAATATTAATTTATCGAAGATAGATTTATCTAGGATCTTATCTAGAATGCCAGATAAGATAGAATAGAAAAAAATCGTTTATAATGTGGTGTTTATCGTGATGGAGTATATATATTGAATATATTTAAAAATATTTAAAAAAGTATTTAAAAATGATTATATTTATTTCTTTGAAAATAAATTAAAGTACATAAGATTTTATTTTCAATTAGCGAAATCTGAATATTATTTGATTCTAAAAATATATGAATGAATTTTTTAACTAGAAAGATATCTTATTTGACACATCTATTTAAAAATACTAAGATATTTTAATATATATTATGAAATAATATTTAGATAATTTAATTTGCAATTTAAACAAGAAAGAAATGAACGATCATTATTACAATATAAACAGAATTGTAAATTGTATCCAAATTTTTTTTAGTGACGAAAAAAAACCCTAGCGAAAAATACGGAACTTTCACTTGTAAACTGGTATAGAAACCGCAACTCTTGCTGTGCTGGCAAGTAAGAGATCTCCTAAATCCTAACTTATCGACTGTTATAATGTGATGGTAATTTATTCTAAACTTGAAATATATTTATAATATAAATTTAAAATATATGAATTGATAATAAAATAATTTTCTTTGCGATCGCCATACTTATAAATATAAACTTATTATTTACAAAATAGCATAATATTTTGTAAATTTATAGCTTTTGTATATTTGTTTTACTTTTATTTGTAACAATCTCCATCACAATTTTTTTAACATAGAATAAAAAATTGTTTTCATACAAATCATAATTCAATATAAAGTATCTTTAAATTTTTATCTTTAAATCTTTAAATTTAATACATTATCAATATTTCTATTGTAAAAACTATATTTTTTTAAGAAAAATAATGAAAAAAAATAAAAAAAAGTAGTATACAAATTAAGAATCAACGAACGTACAGCTTAGAAATTTGTATTTTTAATATAGATAAAAAACATAATGTTGAATATTTTATATTGAACGTTTCTAACAGCAAAATATAAATTAATTTTATTCCATAGATCATTTCGAAATTTTTCACAATTTGCAATATTTTTTCTATTAAAAATATCTTCTATTTTTCAATGCATCATATAGAAATATATGACAGGTCACAGATGCAGACTGCATTTTCTCAATCGAAGTGAAATCACATGTACATTCTGTAGCAGCTGCAAATCCAAGATAGTGTACAGTAATTTTCCAATTCATTTTCCGTTATTTGGATTTTCTCTTTACCTTTTTCTCTTGCTTTCATTGATAAGAGACCAAGAACGAAATGAGCATATGCTGTTGTAGAGAAATGGTAATTAAAGCTGTACTTATACACCGGAAAGACGAGAAACAAATTATCGTCAATTCATTTACAATAGAACATTATTCAATATGGTGGAGTTTATTTGTTTATTCCATATAATCAAAAAGAGTTTAACATTCTTCTAATTTTCATAATAAAAAAGAGGTTTTTACACGAAAAACTATATATTAGATTGTATTACAAAAGGAAACCACAAAGGAAGTTTTAAAAAATGTATATCAAGTAAACACCATAGAAAATTGGGTAAAGTAGGAAAAAATTATAAGAATTAATACGATGTTTGATGAATCATCTTTATATTCAGATTTCAGAAATTTTTAATTTCATTGATTTTTCATAAATTATACATTAATCATTTGATTAATATACCTCTTATGAATAATCTAATAATAATTTAAAAATTATATGACCGAATTATACCGGGAAAATACAAAAGTAAAATATATAAAAAAATATAAAAAGAAATAAATTTAATAACTTAAATACCCATCATATGCAAGTATTATATATAAATAAATAAATATAATAACAAGGTATTAATAATGATTATGAACAATCTGATAAATATTTCCCATATATTTGTGTTTTCTACGCAAGTTAGAAGAGCGTTTATAATATCCTGTGGCTAAGTTTTCTTTCCATACGTTTCTAAGGACGCCCCCATTAAACGGTGGACAGGGGTAATCGAATAGTTCTAAGCTACCGGAGGGTCGGAATAGGCGTTCTAAAATTGGGAGGGGTACGTAGGGGAACACGAAAACCGGATGGCACGCCGAAATGTAGTCGACTATATTCTGAATTCATCCTCCATTTCGGAACATAATTTTTATTTCGATAAGAATTTAACATTTTCATTGATTTATTTGTAATCAATTATAACTAAAACTATAACTGAAGTTGTAGCGATTCATCAATTTATTTATCATACCTTCCTATTATTTCCATTAAATTTTCATTAAATTATTAAAATACATACATTTATTACGCGTATATTTTTCTTTATAGGTAAATAATTTTCGGAAAAATATATATATATATATATATATGAAATTTCATTTGGATAAAAAGATCAATGATTGATTTTGATTAAATATTGTATGGATATTTTCGTAAGTGTTACGTGTGCGCTTTTTCCTTGCACGTTTTGCATCCAATAATCACAAAAATAGCAGTTCTAGCCAATTAATCGTTACTCGAAGGCAGGTGAATAGAAGCAACATGGACGCAGTTTCTTCCTTTTCCAACCTCTTACCCTGAGCACCCTGACCCTGGGCACATAGGCAGCTGTCTCTCTCCACCCCTTTATGGGCATGGCACTGCTCTAACGTAAGAACGGATTTGTCTATCCCTGCTCGGTGTGCAGTAGTATCGCAAGACCATTGAGAATCATCTTCATAATATTTTTAAATCTATTTTCTCCGCTAATAAAATCTTTCAATTACATTCGATCTAATAATAACGAATGTAATTATCATTTGATACGAAATATAAATAAAATATAATGATCCTAAATTTATATTATTTATTTAAAAAATACGAAAAATTATTTTTTATACTTTTGAAAATGAATAGAAATATTTTATAATAATTTGACATAAAATGGGAGTCGAAAATTTAAAATATCGATCATATCTCATATATGATGTTTTAGAAACATCTGTTGTTTTGTTTGTTATTTATTCATTTATATTTCTATACTTTTTCAATCTATTTTCAACGTATTTTATAAATGTAAAATTTATAAAATATATTTTTTTTACTTTACTTTTAACCGTCGCTATATCTTTATGCGAACAAGTTTGATGTATACACGATTAAACATCATCGTTCAAATTAAATTTGTATTTGAATTTTAATACCGAATTATTCATCGAAATCTTTGGGATACTAGTATATTAAGCAAGTAAATAACGAAACGTTTGCAACAAGAATAGAGCCAACTGTTACCCAAGTAGTCGAAGGTTACAAATAGTTCCAGAGAAATCAGCTAACCGTCTATATAAATGCAAATTGAACGCGAAGATACGTATCTTCGATTCATTCGGTGGTCTCATCATTCCCAGCGGCGCTTAGCGGGAAAAAAAATACCCGATAGATTGGTACAACAATCTTTCAAGTATGAATACCAACGGCAACGCAGGAGCAAGGAACTCGTTAACCGTGCTACCGTTCGCCGAAAACACCCGGTACATTCTTGCAGGAATCGAACGCGCGCTATAGCCAGAAAGAGTAAGGAAACGAAGGCGGGAAGGCGGGAGAAAGAGAAGGCGAGGGCGCGCTAGCGCGCCACGACGCTCGCACGCGTGTGTATATCTACGCGTACGTACGTTTTCTACTCGCGTACACGCATGCTCGTGTGCGTGCACGCAACCTGAACGAAGGAGCGTGCGACGAGCGAGCACGCATGCACGTGAAAGCGAGCGTGCACGCAGACAAGCACATTGCCGGCTGCGAAAACCGGCGTGCGAAAATTGACCAATCCGGAGCAGAGGCGGGAGTCGGTGGGGCAGCCACGTGGTGCCGTAGCGGCCAATGAAAGGCAAGGCGCTCGCGAATTTCGAGTCGGTTTCCCGCTTAGCGCTCATGAGCTTCTAGTTGCTAGAGCAAGACAGACGGGAAGAGGGAAAAAAAAAAGAGTGAGAAAGTGCACGCACAAGCAAGGAGAGACGGGAAGGTTATACGGTTGGTAAAAAGGAGCGAGGAAGAAGGAGCAAGGAAAAAAAAAGAGAAGAGTGACGAGTTTGCATCGCATTGCCCCCCCAGGACACGCGAAAGAGCGAACGAGAGAAAAGAGAAGGAGGAAGAGAGAAAGGGCGAAGAGCGGTGAGAAAGAGAGAGAGAAGGAAAATGCCGAATGAGAGTGCCCCTCAGACGTCGCGCCGTAGTCTAGCCAAAGAGACAAGAGCCTGGTAGGAAGGTGCGTCGTCGTCGTCGCAACGAGAGGAGAGGAAGGAAAGAGAAAGAGAGAGAAAAAGAGAGAGAGAGGAGTCGCTTGGCACACGGTGAATCGTCAAGAGAACGGTCAACGCGCGTCCCTTAACCTTAAAAAAGTTGAAGAGTCGTTTCTGAGAAGACACGGTCGTCGTGGTAGTCCGCCTGATCGGTCGTCGCAGTCATCCACGTCGGTTTGAATGATCGAGCTGGCTCGAGAGACATCCATTGCCACCGGAAACACGCCAAGTCTGTATACTACCGGTGCCGAGTCGACGTGACAGAGAGTCGTTGTACCTCGAAGCGAGCGGGAAATAGACAGCGGTTCCAGAGGAAAGGAAGAAAGGAGAAAACAAAAGACAGTACAGCCAAGAACGCTTGGAAGATCGTTCAAGAAGTTACGAAAAACCTCCTGTGTTCCTTTCGTTTTTTGGTGTGCAAGCGCGAAAAATCACGCCGAGTATCACGCGAGAAAGACAATCGTGTTCGCCGAGACGTTAAGATAATAACCAAAAAAATAAGAGTAAAATCAGGCCACGGAAAAGACCCTGACGAAAGCGCGCTCTCGTGTTTCGTCCTGCATGATAACAGGATTCAACGTGTCGTCGTCGTCGTCCTCGTCGTCGTCGTCGTCGTCGTCGTCGTCATCGTCTGCGTCGCATACGTGTATTCGTTCTCTGCCGGGAATAGTTACGGTCTTCGACGTGTCGAAAACGTGCGGTGATCGTGTCATTCTCGAGTTTGTCTACGGATTTCATCGGTGTATCTCCTTTCGGGTCTCGTGGTGCGAAATAATCGGTTTTTTTACCGTTTTCGCGTCGTGATCATCCTCGTTGACGTGTTGTGGACAACATCGTCAGCGACCTCTTCGTCTAGCTGCGTGCTACTGGGCTGCAAATTTTTCAAGCCACGTGGCCGAGACGTATCTCGGCATAATTAACATCATTACGTCCAAGAGCGAACCAACCACTATGTCGAAGCTCTACGTGGGCAATCTACCGTCGGATTGTAATGAGAGTGCCCTCCGGCAACTCTTTCAGGATCATAATTTGTCGTGTACAACAATCTTGGTGAAACGAGGCGGATACGCATTCGTTGATTGCACGGATCAGTCTGTGGCCGATCGTGCAATCGACAAACTTAACGGTGAGTTTAGAATCAATAGACGAGATAATATTGGATAGATCGCTTTGCTATGCTTTTACGTTTGAGTTCCTATCGGCTGTTGCTACGCTGATACGGAACGTCTTGTAAAATACGCTGCGTTTTACTATGCCAATACATCGCTACGTTTATTGCGATTGCTATTATCACAGGCTCTGCTGTCACGTTCCACGACTGAACGAAGAAGAATCTTCGCAAGGAGCAATACACGCAACTTGGACACTTCATGACTAATGTAAAAATCGCTTTTATTGCTTTACATAATGTTATAATTTAGGTATGGCCATTACGATTTGCAGACAAGAAAACGAACTTATTTTGTACAAAGTTTTTTTGTATTCACGTGTGCAACAAGTTTTGTTCACCTGTACATTCATATTGTCACGCTTTTACATGCTTTTTCAATTAGTTTGTAAGATTTTACGACGAGTAGAAATATATATAAACATTTGCACGCTTGTATATATGCTTTACACAATTTGCTGCTTACATTTATTTTCCTATCTCGATCGAATGATCGGTATCCTGTACATAATCAACCTTGTCCAACCTATGCAATTATTTATATTTATGCGCAGACTGTATTTTTATTATAACCTATGTATAAATAATGGACAACTTCATTGTGTCATTCAGTGGATCGATCGTCAATTATATTCGCTGACGAAAGGACTATCGCAATGCATTATTGATTGTTTAATATTTTCTATTTACTTTGATCATTTTAATCAGAAAATGATATCAAAACTGAAGAAATTTAATGACTTTGTTTAATTCTCTTTAAAGAAAGAAAAATATTTATGAATGATCGCTTTAAACGAACAACCACTGTGAATTTGTCTATCAGTTTGAGAACCTCTGAGCGCGACCTCGAAAATGCGTCCGTCGAAAAAATACATATTCCCATTTTGATCGAATACTACATATAGAAATATATTGGTGCAATTTACATTTTTGGATGTTTTCACGTCATACAGAACGAAACGTTATTTTTCTGTGTTTAATTATATGAAGCTTTTCATCTAAACACCAATCGTGTTTTTCAAATTCTCCTTGAAAACAGCGCGAGAGATCGGAACTACTCTGCTCGTGTCGTGTGGAAAACTTATCCACGTGGTGGAGAGGCGCACGCATCGGCAAGATGGCGGAGCTTATACCGGCAAGGTCACGCGTGTGGGTTTCGCCTTTGAGATAAGTTTCTGATAATCGCTTGTGTCGTGGCCAACATACTGTCGTTGATCGATACGATAAACAGCTTCATTTTATACTTGGCAATAGTAATTTGAGTATTCAAAAAGAATTAAGATACAATCGCGCGATTGATAACGAACCGCTTAATCGTGACTGATTAGAATTCAATTATCGCCAACGAGTATTGAAATTTCATTTCGACATAGTCGACAAACTGTGACCAAAACTATAAGTACTATGTGTAAATTAAATTTTTTACTCGATTATCGATCTTATTTGTCGTAAAGATGTAATAAAGTTGTTAATGATCAATTAAAGCCATTAAGGAATGTATTAGTCAACACGACTATTCTTTTTTCGTGTGATTCATTAATAATTTCGAAATAATTCTAAACAAAGAAATAAAATTGTCGATAAGTCTTACGTATTTTTCGTAAAACGATTATTCCTTCATAAATCCTGACCCTCCATACTGAATTTTCACTTTGTCTCGAAAAGTTAGATCGATATTTGACTAGAGACGACTCACGCCTGGAACGTTGGTGATTCTCCCGCCCAAAAAACGTGGTCAAGGTCGCGTTTGTACGCGTGACGTACGGTTCCCCACTGGTTTTAATGCGAGGTTAAAATCTACATCGTGAAATACACCGCCAACTTTATTTCAACGTATCCATAGAAATCAGTTAGTCACACTCATCATGTACGACGACCATGCCAATCGAGTAAATCCAGATCGTAAATTTCATAGATGATATCGTAAATGACATGTGCATTCGTACATTACGATTCATTTCGACGTTTATCGATCATTGACTCGTATTCCAATTTTTTCTACAGGTTAATAACATTAAGGAAATAGAAAAATATATAAAAGAATCGTGTTCATATTTTGAAGAATTATTTTAAATTTCATTCTGTTGATATTGCATAACAAGATTATTTGTAATCGCATGTAATTGCTTTGCAATTCATATCATATAATAAATATCCATAAGACAAATCATTGTCGCGTTACGTGTCAAACTCTTCCACGTAATGTTCGTTTCGATAAATTGATTTTTACGAGAAGTATCGACGACGACAAACGAATATTTATTTATATCGTAAAACGATTTGATTTCATCGAATTAAAACAAAAGAGAAGAGAACTGAACGACGAGATAAAATATTCTTGAGATATTCTATTCTAATTCCCAGGAAGTATGAGATACGAGCAGTTGGGAAAATTTGGAATATAATGGCAGTCAAAAATGTGGCAAAGAATGGTCGGCTTGCTTAGAAGCCGGGTTGCAAGAAAGAGGCGCGACACGAACATTGGAACGATTCATAGGGAATAGTTTCTCCCTCTATTTCGTTAGCAGAAGGTTCAGTCGTTGCTCTGCAACAGCGGTACATATGTATGCGGGGCTGATCCTTGGATACAATACCGTGTGCGGAGAACGTTACCGCTGACTGAGTACAGAACTAGTTTGGTGGGTTGTGTTACGTTTTAGACTAACTAAACTAAGGCTAGTCGCGGTTAAACTACATCAGACTATGAACATCGATATTAATTCACCGAGCTACTATAACTTATTCGCTATTTAATGCCTTCATTTTGTTCGAACCATGGGAACATTGTGCCTAGAAAGTTATCGCTTTCCAATGAAAAAGCTATTAACTGACGAAATATCTTAAAGGATAGACTAATACGTTATAAGTATTTTTTTTCTGTTAAAAAATGTTATCTCGAATCGAGATCTTTATAAGAAATAATATATTTTTTTTTAACGTAGAAAGTTAATAATTGTATAGAATCAAACGATAAGATGAAGTTTTATTTTTCACGTGGTTGAAATTTAAAGAATCACGCAATATTTAATACCAATTAAAAGAGAATTAAGTATTTAAAGTATATTTTTAATCTCGGGTATCCATTTGTTCATGACTCGGTCAGCTTGATTTGTCGCGTGCCTGCTCGAGACCACCTGCCCTCGAAAAAAGTTACCTGTTAACCGGTAACCGACACTGATGGAACTTTACGATTCGGTTTCTCCTCAGGCATGATAAACTTAAGGGTTGATAATAATATCGGTTCAAATTAAAGGAAAATAATTCTATGTTAACATATTCGATTTTATTACGATAAAGAAAATTTTTCTAGATCGTGTCAAACGTTAAACGCTCTTGTTATCCTATATTTTATCGTGCAAAAAAAATATGCATATACGTAGATAAAAATGTGTACAAAAAAAATGATTAAATGAACGAATAATATCGTTATTTGAATTCTTTACAAACGAACGTTAAAAATTATTCGAATAACTTAAAATTCATTAATCATCCACATTGAAATCCAATATATCTCGGTGATATACAATGAACCTTATGCCAACTATTATCAGTTGGTATCTGTTCCTACTATCAATGACTGCGAAGTCCAAAACTTTATCTTGTAGAGCGGTTGAAATAGAACCAGCTTTTACTCATTTCTCGAAACTTGAATACAACGTTATATTTACTTTCCACAAATTTATCTTTTCGATATTATAGAAATTTCTCGCTTTTTTCTTTTTTTTTTTTCCCCCTTTTCTTTTTTAACTAATATAATTGATAATTAATATAAAAATCGTATATAATTATCTTACAAAGGTTTAGAAGTTTCTTTATAATTGTGATTTTACAAGAGATTTCTAAATGAAATCTCTTCTCCCAATGAAACGGAAAATTAAAGATCCTCCTCGTCCCATTTCCTTCATTTTATCGCATAATTCGGAAATTTGATCATTAACCGTGTATCAAGTTGAGAACAACGGTGAAAAAGAACTGGATTTAACACCGACACAAATGTACGGCTTAAGCGCAAAAAGTGCTTGCGCGTCTGCAAGGAGGAAGTGCTATCTTTAGAGCGGCGAAAAGAGAGTGTGCGATGTCTTCTTCTCGTCTTCTTTTTCGTCTAGCCATCCGCTTTCATTAAACGAATGTGTATGGTCTTCGAACCAGGAGCTAGAAAGCCATTGTGAAATTTCGACATACTCGATACTACCTCGAAATGAATGAAACTTCTGTATCAGTCACGTTTTATTTCGCAAGCCGCAAATCAGCGAGGCTTAACGACCGATAAAATCCTCCGTTGCATCGCAAAATAATTCGACCGGATCGAGTCGCAAGTTTTTAATTCTAAGCTTTGAAGATACGAGTTATTTTAAAGAAGAATTTCGAGGAATTATCGAAACGATTAATTTACATTGTCGAAGGGGAGGGGGGGAATCGGTCAAAATTAAAAGCCTTTCGTCGAACAGATCCAACAATATCGAAACGAAATAATTAATGAGATTATACCGAACTGTGAAGAGTTGATAGCGGCGAGACATCTCTATATGAAATTATCCGTGGACCACAGTCTCTATTTTGAGTGTTTCTATATCGGCTTCGTCGACAATTCTCTATTTCTTTCTTGGCCTCCCACGCGGCAACCTTTTCTCTTTTTTTCTATCTATATATTGTCTTCGTCTTTCGTGGCCTCTGTTCGCTCGAGGAACCTTTGAAGACACGTGTTTGTTTTAGATACCCGGCCGTTGACTTCCCGGCAAATAACCGTGTTACCACTGTTACTCCGAACGAAACCGTTCTCAACGAAATCTTTCTTATTATAACACTCACACATCGGATATCTCGTTGGCAGGAACTGTACGTTCAACGTTTTCCCCTTGTATTTTATCCGATGGAAAAAATAGGTGTGCTACATTTTATCATGTATTATCGTTATCAGACACCGAGTTTTTCTATACGATCATCACGTCCCTAATCCG